AGGGTATTCTAAGGCAGATCACTATAAATGACATCCCAGTTGGTCGTTCTGTTGATGAAACCCTGCGCCTGGTCCAAGCATTTCAGTTCACCGACAAATATGGAGAAGGTACAAACAACTGTTGCAAAACAATCCAAAAAATTCCAAACATTCAACAAATTCATAGCCTAATGATATAGTCCTGATACTATAGGCTTCTTACATTTGCTACTCTCTATCTGTTTAAATGATACTAGCACATGTCTGCTGTTTTGTCTTCTGGGCCAGAACTCATTACCAGCTTATCTTTTCAGTCTGCCCTGCCGGCTGGAAACCAGGAAGTGACACCATCAAACCAGACATCCAAAAGAGTAAAGACTTTTTCTCCAAGCAGTAATAAGCCCAAGGTCAGGATCTGCTGCCTGCTGTAACATCATTTCAATATTCATGTTTGTTGCAGTAATGTATTTTTGTCTAGAGAAAATTACTTCTTTAAACGTCTAATGTAATGTTTTATATGTTTTGTATTGTTTAAAGTTAGACCACAAGACACCCAGGTTGCTATCGTAATAAATTGTATTATTTATTATTGTTCAACTTTTTTAAAATTTCATTTTACAAAACACTTGGAATAAAAAGGAAAATGTAAACCTTTAGTAATGTTTTTAGTGAAAAGTTTATGTGCGGGGATTGTGGAAATAAGAAAGGCTTTTAAATGTTGATAGAAGCTAACAACTAAATAAATGTTTATGCAGACAATCATTCAAGACAGTGATTGCTTTATTTCGATGTGTTTTAAAGTGCATATCACTCAAAATAACTATGGATCTGTGCACTTTTGAACGCATCTTCCGACGGCGGGAATTTTCAGCACTAGATTAAAAAAGAAAACGCAAAATTACAATTATGGTGCTGATCAGCAATTTATTAGGTGCAGCTTGAGACATTTTTTTGTATACAGCTTAACGTTTTAAGTTATTGCTATTATAGTATATTGTTATTACGGTATAATTTATTTTACAAACCGAGGTAGCGTTAATATTAAAAGTAAAAATGTCTGCTAGCAAGACGCGCATTAAGAAAAGCAAAGAGGAAACAGCAGAGGCAAGTTTTACAATAAGTAATATAATAGATACAAACTTATGTTTTTTTTTTTTGTTTGTTTTTTTCTAGAGATCACGTAAAAATCATTATTAATAGCTATAGATGTACATTTTTGGTCATGTTTCGGTCTTGTCTCGCCCTAGCTAATTGCGCCATCATGTGGCTTTCAGACTCACGACTGTGTAAAAGCTGTTACGTTTTTGTTTTTGTAATGAATAACACACTATGTATTCTCAAAGTGGACAGGGTTATTTCAAGGCGACTTGAAGACCGAGCAGGCGTCGCTTGTGTTTGTGAAGAGGATGATGGCTGTGGCCGTGTCCTCCATCACTTATCTCCGGGGTATTTTTCCAGAGGACGCCTACAGGTCCAGATACTTGGAGGGTAAAGAGAAATATGAAATAGATCAATCTCCAACTGCTGAACACACATCAAGGCGTTCATTTATTTATACGTGTTTACTTCATTTTTTTATACCAACAGATTTGTGCATTAAAGTCTTGCGTGAAGACTGCAGCACCCCTGGAGCAAACAAAGTTGTGAAATGGTAATTTTGCCTGAAGATAGCACATATACAATAATACCAATTTTTTCTAAAAAAAACCCCAACAACTTTCAAATCTCCATGTTTCAGGATGATGGGCTGCTTTGATGCATTAGAAAAGCAATATGTAAGTTTTTTTTTTTTTTTGTAGAAATAAGGGATTTGCAAAATATAAATTTATTTCTTTTGTCTTGTTAAGCTCCAGATTGTGTTTATTGGGGTAAGTTATAAAAAGGTCATGATATGTTATAACATACTATGTAATAATGGTTAACAATTTTGCTTTGACAATTGTAGGTCTACACAAACCCTGATGATCCCAATGTAAGTGTTTTAATAGTATATATAATAAAATTAACATACATTCAATCAAAAGCATCTTGTTTCTTTTAGTGCATAATTGAGTCCTACCAGTTTAAATTTAAGTATACAGAAAAGGGCCCAGAGCTAAACATCCTCAGGTTTGAAGACACACATAAGCATTGTTTTATGCAGTCATTGATCATTTAATACAATTAATCCCTTTCATGTCTTATTTTATAGGAACAATGCTGTGCGGATGCAGGTGACTCTAGAGGACACCAAAAGAGCATCTGTGCTGCTCATCAGAAAGCTCTTTTTGCTTATGCAGAATTTAGGCTCCCTCCCCAACAATGTCTACCTGACCATGAAGCTTTACTACTATGATGACAGTAAGTGACCTAATATTCAAGAACCAGTAGATAAAATGCTGCAATGTTAACAAACAAACATGAGAATAAACGTCTTGTTATAGTGACTCCTGAGGACTATGAACCCCCTGGCTTTAAAGAGGGTGAATGTGACAGTCTGTGGTTTGAAGGCACTGCCATTCACTTTAAGGTTGGTAGCGATTGAAGTCTTGAATTAGAAAACCTGAACTAATTCTGCAGTCATTGCATTTCTTCAGGTTGGCAATGTGCAGACACCTTTCCACACTTTGAGGGTGCGTGTCTCTGCAGAACAAGGTCGACTGGCCAAGCTTCAAGAAGGGAACTACCTGAGAGACAGCAAACTTGAGAAAAATGTCAAAATGGTCTGTACACAAATATTTTTTTATTTGTAAACTTCACAGACCTTGTTTTAATGTTTGGTATATAAACCAACAGGACTATCAAAAGAAGGAAATTGACGAAGAGGATGTCCCTTCAGAAGATGGTATACAAAAGTACTTCTAGTTTATCTTAAATGTATTACTTCAATGTTCATAATTCTTCTTCATTCAAAATAGAGTCTGCGCAGTTCAAGAAGCCCACACAGCCTCTGGCAAAGGTAAAACAGAAATAAAAAACTGTAGCAGTTAGCAAAGGCACACAAATGGCCACATTAAAATCTATGTTTTTGTTTTTTTCACAGAGAAAGGCAATGGGCAAGACACAGGCCAAAAGGAAAAGAATAATCTAAAATGTTTCTATAGTGATTATTGATAAATTATCATTGCTTTGTTGTAAACATTTTATCTCATATTTATTATATTGCAAAGTAAGGATTTAATAAAATATGTTTATGTTGTTTAAAAGAGGTCAAGCATTTTGCTGTTATGTACAAAAGAGTACATGTATCATTCACTACATGTTTTGAATAAAATATTTGTTTCAAAAATTAAGATTGGTGATCTATACAGTGAAATTATTTACGGTATATGTAAATAAATATGTAGCTAGTTGTATAGTGCACTAATATTTAAAATTACAATCATAGTAATTAAGAGCATCTACTTCAACATAACAGTAAATAGTGGCTTAATTGTTCAGACAAAAATCAAGTACTTCAAGTATTTTCCCAGACCTAAAATGTGTTTCAATAGTTCACTAATTGCAATCTGTTTTTCAGAAAAGGCTGTCCACATCTCCCATCTCCACAAAAACAGTCTTTAGCTGTGAGTAGTACTCTATTGTGACCTGTCCGTTCTCTCGCCCAATGCCTGGAAAAGTACAAAATACAAGATTATTAGGGGATTTATAAATGCAGATTATTTGTTGCCATTAAATCATCAGTAGTTTGTACCTGACATCTTAAAACCTCCAAAAGGCACTTCCACAGGAGTTATGTTGTAATTATTGATGAAACAGGAACCAGCCTTCAGATGTTCAACTATCCGATGGGCTCTTCTCACATCCCTAAGACCATAATAAAATGGGTGGTAATTGATCATCCATCCACAAGACAATTTTAAATTATTCTTTCTGTTTTACCTGGTAAAAACTCCAGCAGCCAGGCCCAAACTAGTATCATTTGCTCTATGTAGTACTTCCTCTTCTGTTTCAAATGACAGCACAGACATGACAGGACCAAAGATCTCCTCCTTCACACACGTCATGTCATCAGTGCAGATTCCTAAAAAAAAAAACACTGAAGTTTAGACTCATTGTATGGGCATTGGAAAATGTATGTATTCTTTTTGATCCAACCGAGTACACATGGAGTCATGTAGTATCCATCTTTAAGTTTGGGATCCGATGGGACGAACACTTCCCCTCCACACAAAACATTTGCTCCCTTCAAAATCAGATATTTTAGATGGATGTTTTTTTTTTAGAATCATAAATAAACCATAACAATGACTTGATAAAATACCTCTTTCTTTGCCTGATTGACATAGGATAACACTTTGTTTAGGTGCGGTCGGTTGACCAGTGCTCCCATTCGAGTAGTCTCCAGCAATGGGTCACCGATTTCTATTGATTTAGTCCTCCTCACAACCTCCTCCACAAACTCTGGCACAATATCTTTCTGAACAAAAACTCTTGTTCCGTTGCTACACACCTGTAACAGTTACATAAACAAATACATTTGTGCAAAAATGAAAAATAGTACTAAACGACTACAATTTTAAAAAGGGACCATATGTAAGAAAACAACTGTGTCTCCAGATATGAGGTAGACATGTTCAAATCATATATAGCTATTACTGTAATACTTCTATTCAAAAACACTGAACATGAAAGCCAAGTTATTTGGTGTTTTTGGTTCTCAAAATAATTTATTCAGTTAGAAAGTAGAATGAGCCTCACATGAGTCATTTGGTTAAAATGTAAAGACTTTCTGATCTGAATCCTCACCACCTAAACCACAGCATCTACAGCAAATCATTAATCAGTGTCTCTGCTACAGTATATATTTTCCCTATATTGAGCATGAGGAAAATGTGTATGCCCTTTATCTGCAAGTAGATGACAACCCACATTCAGTTGTAATTACCTCTTTTAAAACTTTAAGAGCACAGAGTACATACAGTTCCTTTAAGACTAGAGCAATACCTGTCCTTGAGAGAGAAAATTGGCCATCAGAGCCCCTCTCACTGCGTTTTCTAGATCACAGTCATTAAAAATCAGCAATGGAGACTTTCCTCCAAGTTCAAGAGTCACAGGTTTGACCCCCTGAGAGGCCATTTCCATTATCTGAGAAAGAGAAGGGGTATTTAGAGGTAACATACAATCTATTGCATTGACTTTACTGTTAAACTAAAGACTGAGACCTTTTTGCCTGTGGGTACACTTCCAGTAAACGACACCTTAGCAATGTCAGGGTGCTGGCACAGTAGTCGGCCCACCTCTTGTCCACCCTGGACAATGTTAAAAAGCCCTTGCGGAGCTCCAGCTTGAGCATATATTTCTGCTAATAACACAGCTGTCACTGGCGTCACCGGGGATGGCTTAAAGATCATAGCATTTCCTTTAAGGGACATTGAAAGTTTGCTTTACAAAATATCTGTGATCTACATTAAATGTTATGTATTACAGTGTTAACAAAAACCTTAATAGGCCTACCACATGCCAGAGCTGGTGCGGATTTCCAAGCAGCGATTTGAAAGGGATAGTTCCATGCACCGATGCCAGCACAGACCCCTAAAGGCTCTCTTCGAGTGTAGGCAAAGGATCCACCTGGTAACTGGACATGTTGGCCTGAAACAAAACAAGTTTTTAAGGATTGCCTAACTGGCACTTTTTCAATTCACTAAGAGCAACTATAGAGCAACATAGTTGGTCTGTTCACATGTGCCAGTCTTGGCTCATGTTTGACCCGCAGTTCAAGATGACTGAGTTGAAACATTTCAAAATATTAAAATTATTTCAGACCTGACATGGTGCTGGCCAACCCAGCATAGTATTCTATACAAAGTCTGGCAGAATCAACATCCAAACGAGCCTCTGTAATGGACTTTCCATTATTAACAACTTCCATCTGTGCAATCTCCTCTCTTCTGCTCTGCACAAAAACATTTTATCAAAATATTAATATAGAGACAGAAGACTTCAAACATGTTATGGCCACTACAAGACTACCTCAATAATGTGTGCAGCTTCGATTAAGATCCTGGCCCTCTCCATCCCAGACATTTTGCTCCAGTAGTTGAAAGCTGACTTGGCATTATTCACAGCTTCGTTGACATCTTCAGGACCACACTGGTGTAACTGGCACAAAACACGTCCTACAAAGCAACAGCATTCGGTTATCTAGAGACGTGTGTTGAGAGGCTGGGTGGGGGTGGGGGTGGGGTTGGGGGGTGAAATAACAAAGCATTTTTGTTGAGTTCAAAGATCAGTGTGAGGTAATAAAGTCGACAGCTATGTTGCAGAAATAAAATGTCTTGCCTGTTGCTGGTTCGTATACGTTTTCCACGTTGCTTTTTTGTGTGCTAGATCTTCTCTCTCCAGCCCAGAAGTTCAGTGGCTCCTGAGATGTTTACAGATCCCGAGGAGACCCCTCTCACCAGCCCCAGAGACGCGGCACGACAGGGGTGCAGAGTCAAAGCCAGCCTCGAGAGCATGACGAGATCGGATCTGTCGCTTCTTTACCCGAGCAGATCAAAACACTGTGCTGCACAAACAAGTTGACAACATTGAATATCTAAAGTTTAAACGGCGTACATGAAATAAGCAGTTTTGTTTGACCCAGTTAAACTTACCCTGCGGTGCGTCTATGCGGTCATGAGTATAAAATAGCGGATTTTCAGTTACATTACAAAGTTGCTCTGAGCTTTCTGCTGCTAGTACTTCTTAGATCTATGGGCGGGACCGGAGCTACAGCGGCTCTGGCGTCAGAGTACGTCGGCAGAGTCGGCGTCAGAGCACATCTACTGGAGGGGCATGGGTCACCAGCAGGGGGGGCACTGCCATTTGAGAAATATTTTAACGCGGTGGAGTCATACACAGCAGACATGCTATCAAACACGTTTTTCTTTAACAGTATTAGGCTAATTATGTGTTGTTATTATAATCATTATTATATTAAGATTATTATTATTATTAGCTGCAATAGTTGTTGAGGTTGTGTGGTAGACGATACGCACACAAGACAATAATAAAAGGTTGAGGTTTATTAAAAAACAATAAGTCCTGCCACTGGTTGTAAACATTAAACAACAGCCTCTCGTCAAAAACACCTCTGAACTAGAAATAGCCACGCATCGGACAGCACCAGGGCTGTAGTGAACGTGGTACGCGAGTCGCCGTCCAGTCCTGTCCTATAGAGACCTGAGACTTGAGGGACCGGGACTAAACCAGGACTAAACCAGGACTAAACCAGGACTAAACCAGGACTAAACCAGGACTAAACCAGGACTAAACCAGGACCAGTGGCGGCTGATGGTATAATTTTTGGGAGGAGCACCAAGGGCAAAATTATAAATATATATTATGAATAATATATGTATTATATATATATAGGCTGTAGTATTACAACAAATACCAGAAACAGACATTTTGGTTAGTATTGGCTGAACAGTATCGATCAGAGCACAATGAACAGCCAAGCACAAACTTTACGCAACAACACAACGTAACACACCGCTCACACCCAGACCCAACAACGTCAGTAAAACTACAATAAGAGACATGAACACAGATGCCGCTCCTACAGCACACGACAGAACAACCAGAGCAGCTCCATCGCACCCACCAGCTCATTTACGCACTATTAACTATTAACACTATAACACTATTTAACTATTAACACCATAACACTATTTACCTGTGAGGCTCCAAATTCAGATTTGCCGCAAACTAATGAAAACCAGCCTCTTACCTTCTCCAGAGACTGAAGCAGAATGTTTCCTCTATCCGCTGTCCCACTGGTTCTGTTTCCAAAAGTCCAATATGAAGAGATGAAACTGGTCCAAAATCCTGGTCCAGTCTGGTCCGTGACGCGAGGTCCGGGAGCCGAGTGCACAAGATGGTTGTAAAATTAGTCTTAATCCCACTTCCCACTTAAATCTGAAAGTTACGGTCAGTCCATATCAGCACCAGGACACCAGGTAGAATTATGCCTCTGCGCGCTATGCTCAGGTCAAACTTTTACACCCAGAAACGAGCGGACAAAGGCGGATAGAGCAGCGAGCGACTGCCCTGGCCCCGGCGGCGGCAGCGAGAGTCCCAGCGGCGACTGCCCCGAGTCCGGGCATCGACAGTCCCGGTGTTCCGGATTGTCTGGCGATCAGCTTAACTGGTAAAGGCGGAGCCACATCTGGAAGGATGGGGGCGTGTCCTCTCGCTTCCATTCACTCCCATAGAGACACAAAACTGTCGGAGTTGTATTGTCGCGTTAAACCTTCTTTATCGTGGCGTATTACTTCCCCATTGAAAATTAATCCAAATGTATCCCGCGCATGTTCCCATCAAGACCTGGTGTCTGAAATGACAAACTTTGCTCTTTACTGCAGCGCATGAACGCGCTCAACCACTTGATCTGGTCGCTGCTCCAGACGCTCCTATAACAGGTGACATATCGCTATGTGTCATGTAACAAATACAAATGGTCAAGCACAAAATGCTGTCCGTGTCTTCACTGTCATGAATGTTGTGTTTGTGTAGACATGTACAGACTTATATAATGTGTACAATGATGTAGTTCACACAATTTGCTACCAAAATAGGGATTGACTCATTGCATCATTTTGACACAATCACCCAGAGTGAAATCTTACACAACATCTCGCTGTGAACACAACAGGTAGACTACATCTCCTGCTTCCAGATCCAGATGTGGTGGGCGTGTCCACTCGGCTGTAGATGCGGTGGGCGTGCACCTTAACAACTTGATCTGGTTGTCGCTGCGCTGCGGCTGCAGACGCTTCATGTCATCAACTAATATGGTTCTTGTGCTCTCTTTCAAGTCGCAAACCTGCCGATAAAAATACCCAAAGATAAACTGTTGCCAGTCCTGTTACTCTCAAGGGTCTGCGTGTGTAGAGATAGGCCTATATTATATGTACATGTATGCAATGTGACATTTCACACAATTTGCTGCCTTAATATGGGTCTAAACTAGGATCAAACCAGATATAAAACATCTTGTTTGTAGACTACAGGTAGACTACATCTCCTGCTTCCAGATCCAGATGTGGTGGGCGTGTCCACTTGGCTGCAGATGCGCGTGCACGTGCCTTAACCACTTGATCTGGTTGTTGTTGCGCTGCGGCTGTAGACGCTCTATGTTATAATGTAGTCCCTTATTAGCAACCCAAATCTGCTCATAAAAATGCACACATTTATTTTGTTATTTATGTAGTCGTGTGTCATAAGTTGTATTGGCTCGGCCAATATATAAATTCAAGTCATTTCATGCCGTGGAAACTGTCGGCATTATTCTGGCCACAATCATCTACTGTCCAGTATTAGGGAACATCTTAATGTGAGCACAACACGTAAGTGAAATTTTCTGACTACAGGTGGGGGGCATGACCACTCAAATTCGTTAAGAATACGTCACTGTCTTGCGTAGGATATGTGTGCCCCTAGAAGCTGACTGCACAGAACAAATGACATTGCAGTCTAGCTCTTGGCCTCGAATTGTTTACACTTCAATTATATGACCCATTTAGAACATAGTTATGTACTGTCTTACATGGTCAATTAGGTCTTAGTACCAATAGTAAGCAGTCTGATGTAGACGTTGCATGATCAAATAATGTATACTTACTGATTTGAGCAAACTATTTCTCAATAAATAAAATTCAGGCTTGGTACATTTCAGAAACCGGGAAAGAAAACTTTATTGCCATTGTCATTGAACATCATAAAAAAATGAATACCAACAATAATTTATGTATAAGAAATTCATCACAAAACAAATTGTAAAAATAGGGCAGTGCTACATTCACTATCACGGACCACACCACAATTATGGTATCCGATAAAAGATATTTATTGATGATGGATAGATGTGATGGTTGAGATGGGTCTCAAGATGGGGGCTCTGTCTTGGGTGGTCAGCCCAGTTGATTCAGGACAGCCCTCCTTATAGATGAGACCTTCAGGCTGAAGGATGAATGAGACACAGGGTGGAGGGAGAGAGTGGAGACAGATAGTGTTGTCGGGATATGCCTGTGTAAATATGGAAGGTGGGGTTGAGTTGAGCTGTGGTTAACTGGAGAGGAGCAGTCCTGCTCCTGAATCTGTTAATGTCAATCATATTACCAGTAACCCCACCTAGTTTGGTGGTGGTAAAGACAGGCACAAAAAGCAATAATAATCCACATCAACTGGTGGGTTCCCAACACACGTGCTGTGGAACCACTTGTCACAGCCATCACACTGGATCTGTATGTAAAAAACAAATAAAGGGGAGAGGGTGGGCTTCTCATTAACCTTGAACAGTACCCCAAACTGACACAATTTTGGATAGGAAAGGCCTTTACCCAGTGAATGTCTCCCTCTTCATCCTCGTCTAGAGAGACATTTTCCCAATTGATGCCACAAACGTGGCATCGGTTTTTCAAGTTGTCTGTGAACACAGAACATTTTTAAGTGCATGTTATTAATTACACTATTTAATGCAAGAATGGGTTTACTGATGGAGTCAGAGCTGCTACTGTGGTGAATGCCTCAGTTCAATACTTCACTGTACCTGTGGCCTGGAGGAGTGTTGTAAGTATCTCCTTTCTAAGAGCTGCAACTCCCTCTGGGTCGACACGGTAATGTGGCAGCTCCCCAGAGAGAATTCGTTCTGCAAGCTAAAGATGCAAAGTGACTGATCAAGTACCATCATAGATTTTCTTTTTTTTTTACCTTGCAAATGAACACCCCACAGGAACTACCATCCCTCTGTCTAGGGTGGGGCAATGTGGTGCAGGACCATCGGGGGAGAGCAGGGATGTACCTGCGTAGTAGTCCTCTGGAAAATATACTTGCTCAGAACAGATTGTTTTATGGAATTCTAGCATGGCAAAAAAATTACCTAGTTATATCTTGGCAATGTTTTATCTGGTCCTGTCTTGCCCCAAAGGGATCCAGAAACACGGCCCTATGCTCCTTTATATATATGACCTGAAGAAGAAGGAGAAAAGACATTGGAAATTAAAATGAAGATACACATTGCGTTAGTCACAATGCTTACAATTAATGTCCAATGGCTGTTGTGGCACACTCCCCCAACTGCCACTTCATAATTGAGCAGATTGAGCTGGAATATAAATTCATTACAATAAAAAGTTCATGCATAGTCATTGGTGGCTCATATAATTACCTTCTTCAGGGGCCTGGCAGTTCCTTCCCACAGTGCCGTCAGGTAGAGGCTGTCTAGGACCACCATTGGCCTGTCCGCTGCCCTTGTTAAAACTGTAAGGTATGCATTCACAACCTGGAAAGATAAAGATACACATACACATACACACATACCTCACTTTCTACATAACTGTTTGGAGACAGTGACATCAGGTCCTCTGTATAAAGGCGGTAATTGCCTATGCAGGCCCACAGACACCTGCCTGGGTTTCTCCCAGCCCACAGTTCCTGTATCACTGCCAACAACAATAACAATTAATGGTTATACCTACATACTTTGAACGGTGCCATGCTGAGGCTGAGGCTGAGGCTGAGGCTGATGGCTTGAGGCTGAGGCTGAGGCTGAGGCTGGTGGGGCGGCAGAGGCTGAGGCTGAGGCTGGTGGGGCGGCAGAGAGGCTGAGGCTGAGGCTGAGGCTGGCTGGTGGGGCGGCTGAGAGAGGCTGAGGCTGAGGCTGAGGCTGTGGCTGGTGGGCGGCAGAGGCTGAGGCTGAGGCTGAGGCTGGTGGGGCGGCTGAGGCTGAGGCTGGTGAGGCTGAGGCTGAGGCTGGTGGGGCGGCAGAGGCTGAGGCTGGTGGCAGAGGCTGAGGCTGAGGCTGGTGGGGCGGCAGAGGCTGAGGCTGAGGCTGAGGCTGAGGCTGAGGCTGGTGGGGCGGCTGAGGCTGAGGCTGAGGCTGAGGCTGAGGCTGGCTGGGGGCGGCAGAGGCTGAGGCTGTGGCTGGCTGAGGGCGGCAGAGGCTGAGGCTGAGGCTGAGGCTGTGGCTGGTAGGGCGGCAGAGGCTGAGGCTGTGGCTGGTGGGCGGCAGGCTGAGGCTGAGGCTGCAGAGGCTGAGGCTGAGGCTGGTGGGGCGGCAGAGGCCGAGGCTGGAGTTTGAATGGAATGCGCTTTGCGGGGACAATATATCTTGTTAAATTGTCAATATTGACCACACTTTTCCTTTTTTTAGTGTCTTCAATTGTAATACTTTTGCCATCCACAGCTGTGAAAGGACATATTTCATTGAGGCATAAATTCATCTTCAAAACATGTGATTTAAGGAGATATTGACTTGAGTTAATTACCCATAATAGTGAATGGACCCAAGAGATCGCTCTCCAGTTTCCCCCCTTTCCTCTGTAGGGCCTTGTTGTTTTTTTGAAGAACAAGGTCCCCAACCTGCAAATTTTCCTCTATGCCTGTCTCCATCCGTTTCTTAATTATTTTATTTTGGCTTTTAGCCACATTTGTTTTTACCGCGCTATAGATGTTTTGTATTTTCAGGCCCTCATGTAATTCCTCTTTCAGCATCACTGATGTGACCCTGTCCTCATTTACCTGAAAGGAAATACACAAATGAACAATACATTTTATACAGTGGATATGTACAGTCTATTTTTATACACTGACCTCATATTTTTCAGGTATTTCCGACGGGTATCTTGCCTCACGCCCAAACATCAAGTAATAAGGGCTATGGTTTGTGGTGAGCTGTTTTTTTGGTACGCAGTGCAAACATTGTGGCCTGCAATGCCTGGTCCCACGTGTCAGGATGCTCACTCACCATTTTGTTGAGGGATCTGACATACATTCACAAATCATCACAAAACTTAATATACTGTGTAACTCTTATGAGATTAAACTTGCCTTTGAATGGTCCCATTCAGTTTTTCTACCAGCCCATTGGTCTGAGGGTGGTAGGGGGAGGCCAGGCTGCGTTTGATTCCCAGCTTGGCGCACAGCTGAGAGTTCAGCTAATGGAGCACAAACAGCTGTAACAGCTGTTCTGACATAATGGACAATTGTATAATTGCATCTTACCTTGTTTCTAAATTCTGATCCTTGGTCAGTAAGGAGCCTCTTTGGAGCACCAAATCTATAAAAGAAATCCAAAATGCACTCCTGCACCTCCACTGCAGTTTTGGTTTTAAGAGGGTATGCCTCTGCCCACTTGGTAAAATAGTCCACCATTACACAGATGTAATGGTGGCCATTTTTTGTTGGATGTAGTTTCCCAACCAGATCCATTCCCACAAGCTCCAGTGGTTCAGATACCTATTACAGAACATAAAGTTGAGCAATTCAGTGAAATCCTCTATGCGAAATGTACTACATTTTAAGCACTTACCTCAATGGGGATGTACATTGTTTTGTCTTTCAGATTAGATCTTTTCTTCTGGCACTGGGGGCATTCATTGATCTGGAATTAAAGAGACATATTGTGTTAGACTGTATTCAGACTTTTATATGAATCAATGTAATCAAGAATCAGCTTACCCATTTCTGAATGTCAGCTTGCATTCCAGGCCAGTAATACCTCAAAATGATGGCACTGTGGGTCTTTTCCCTCCCACAGTGTCCACCAATTTGGCTAGTGTGAAATTCTTCAAAAACTCCACTTGCCTCCTCAGCGGTCAGGACCACTTTGGCCCAGTGAAACTGGAAGGAGCGCTTCCGTTGGCACTTGTAATACAGCTGCCCATCTGGTAGACACGTTCCCAACATGCATGGCAATAAGTGTGCACATTCATGTAAAATTCTTGAACAATTGCTGTGTGCTCACCCTTCACCATGTACGATTCTGCCCTCCTTTTGATTATGCCCCTCTGCGTACCATCGGCATCACTAGGGAACCTTTGGTGTACCAAATACTGGACCAGCTCCTGGACAATTTTGGGGTCCATAGTGTCCAACTCACCCTAAATTTCCCTACAACTGAAACTACACTTCACTAACCTAATATAAACTAACTGTCCTAACTGAAATTTATCCCTAACTCTAAAATTAAACTATGCCTCTCTAAACTGTGAACGTATTCTATACCCTGTACTGAACTCAAATATTCTCTATAACTGTACTCTGTATTAAACTCAAAAATTCTCTATAACTGTACTCTGTATTAAACTCAAATATTCTCTAACTGTACTCTGTATTAAACTCAAATATTCTCTAGAACTGTACTCTGTATAACCTAACTCAAATCTTCACTATAATATAACTCAAATCTCCACTACATCTATATCTGTATATCTCAACTCAAAATCTCACTGTGAACTAAAAATGTCTGACTAAACTCTCCCAATGTCTAAACTGAAATACTAAACTATCCTATAACTATGTCTGTGTCACTGTTCTATATATAATTTACCTGACTTTTATTCCTACCTGCATGCATACTCCAAAGACTGACAAAAGGATGCCACCAGTTTATATAGGTTACTGATTAGTTGCACCTGTTAGCAGGCCTTGCCCGTCTCACAGGAGGACGGCATTCTTACAGGATGTTCAATGACATGGGAAGGATACTCCACTGTATGAGGCAACAGTGGCTCAGTAGTTAGAGCAGTGGCCCTCTCAACTCAAAAATCAAAGGATTCATTCTTGCTTGTGATAATCCACAATCTGGTGCTCTGTCCTTAGGCATGACACTTCACCCACCGAACCCAGTATGAAAGTGGTGTGTGTGATTGGTGTTGCAGATTTGTCAGTCAGCCCCATACTATTGCAGCTATGGCAATTTCAGGACAATTGGCTCTACAGCCCGTTTTCAAGAGGCATACAAGCCTCTAAACTACACTCTAAACTCTATACAGTTTATGTGTTCATTGTGTAGTGGTTTTCAGTGATGTTGATGTGATGTTGATGCTCTAACATCCTTGTCTGTCTCTGGTTAGATGAATGTATATTCTGTACCACAAAGCATAATAGGCAAACACGTTCACATTTTTTTTTTTTATTCTATAAAGACCGATTACACATGTGCATTAGGGATGACAAATAGTGAGCGTGTAAAAGACTGAAGGCCTATATGGTAGTTACTTCTTTTCATGGTACACGCCCACCACATTTACAGTGGCGTGGTCATGCCCCCCACCTGTAGTCAGAAAATTTCACTTACGTGTTGTGCTCACATTAAGATGTTCCCTAATACTGGACAGTAGATGATTGTGGCCAGAATAATGCCGACAGTTTCCACGGCATGAAATGACTTGAATTTATATATTGGCCGAGCCAATACAACTTATGACACACGACTACATAAATAACAAAATAAATGTGTGCATTTTTATGAGCAGATTTGGGTTGCTAATAAGGGACTACATTATCACATAGAGCGTCTACAACCGCAGCGCAACAACAACCAGATCAAGTGGTTAAGGCACGTGCACGCGCATCTGCAGCCAAGTGGACACGCCCACCACATCTGGATCTGGAAGCAGGAGATGTAGTCTACCTGTAGTCTACAAACAAGATGTTTTATATCTGGTTTGATCCTAGTTTAGACCTAGTTTAGACCCATATTAAGGCAGCAAATTGTGTGAAATGTCACATTGCATACATGTACATATAATATAGGCCTATCTCTACACACGCAGACCCTTGAGAGTAACAGGACTGGCAACAGTTTATCTTTGGGTATTTTTATCGGCAGGTTTGCGACTTGAAAAGAGAGCACAAGAACCATATTAGTTGATGACATGAAGCGTCTGCAGCCGCAGCGCAGCGACAACCAGATCAAGTTGTTAAGGTGCACGCCCACCGCATCTACAGCCGAGTGGACACGCCCACCACATCTGGATCTGGAAGCAGGAGATGTAGTCTACCTGTTGTGTTCACAGCGAGATGTTGTGTAAGATTTCACTCTGGGTGATTGTGTCAAAATGATGCAATGAGTCAATCCCTATTTTGGTAGCAAATTGTGTGAACTACATCATTGTACACATTATATAAGTCTGTACATGTCTACACAAACACAACATTCATGACAGTGAAGACACGGACAGCATTTTGTGCTTGACCATTTGTATTTGTTACACGACATAGCGATATGGCACCTGTTATAGGAGCGTCTGGAGCAGCGACCAGATCAAGTGGTTGAGCGCGTTCATGCGCTGCAGTAAAGAGCAAAGTTTGTCATTTCAGACACCAGGTCTTGATGGAAACATGCGCGGGATACATTTGGATTAATTTTCAATGGGGAAGTAATACGCCACGATAAAGAAGGTTTAACGCGACAATACAACTCCGACAGTTTTGTGTCTCTATGGGAGTGAATGGAAGCGAGAGGACACGCCCCCATCCTTCCAGATGTGGCTCCGCCTTTACCAGTTAAGCTGATCGCCAGACAATCCNATTATGAACAACCTGAAACTAAGAAAAATACAATTTCAACACAAAGTTTGAACATGAACTTGTCTGTAAACAGGAATAAGTCCAGTTTTGTTGTAAAATCCTGCACTCGGCTCCACTTTTCTCATGTTGGACATTTTTCTGATGAGGGTGTCACGGTCAACAGTCAAAACGATCGTCCTTTAAGAGCGTTTGGAAAGAGACAAGTCTTCATTTGTGCTGCTCTGGTGGGAGGGGCCACGTACAGAGACGCTGGAGACGCTGCTGTGATAAACACCACAGAAAATTAACAAGATTTTA